AAGGATAGGTTTGTTTAGTTTTAAACCTTGTACTGTGTAAATATCCTTACTCTTGCAAGATGTTTCAGTTGCAGCAAAATTAAGTGCCATGTAATTGTTCTTTGATTGGAATGGAAATACTTAAGACCACCAATTTGGGGCTGACACGGAAGAAGGAAAATGTTTACCTTTATGAAACCAAAAAGTTAGTTGAGCAATGAGAGTCAGGGAATTGTGTTGGCTCGTAAGTGGGGTTACAGAATTAGTGTTTTATCTATTGTTAGGTACTGTTAGATGTTTGCTTTCTGCTGGCTGTGAATTATTTTATTGTGTCCTCTTGAGAGACTGAACTCTGAAGTCAGTTAAGTTGGTGGAGTGAGATTGCTTTACACCTTGACTGGTGACTGCTGATCGAAAGGCTAATAAATAAAAAAAAAATTTAAACATAGGAGTTTTGGCTCATAAAATACCATTGGAGAGCTGGAAAAGATTTATTTTTAGCTACTGAAAAAGATGAAGGTATCAGGGCTGTGGACTTGGAAAGTACTAGATTTCTGTCTCCTGTTACGGGATTTGCTCCTAATTTTCACTAACCTGTGGGCCTTTCTTTGCAAGTTGATCTGTTGCAATTCTTTCTCAATCTGGAAAAGACTTTCCTTTTTTTGATGCCTGCTGGCTCAAAAATGCTTCTTATGTCTTCGTAAATGTCAGAGTTGTGGGCTGGTGCTCTTGTTTGGATACTGTACTTGCATTGTCAATAGTGGAAAATTATTTAACAAAGTAACATCCGAACTGCAGGACAATACACTGATTTCTGTGGCAAGCTACAGTTTGGTGTTTGTTTGGTTTTTGTCTAACACATTTAGAGTAAATAAACCTGTATTAAAAATGTGTATTCCAATAAGTGTTTTTTTACAGGAAATTCATTTAAGTACATTTAGATAAGTTACAGTAATTGAACAGAGAAAGCCGAAGTTGAAATATATTAAATTTTTTACCTTCTTTTTTTTCTTTCTTTCTATTGGTAGTAGTAGGAGTAGCAGTAGCAACATACGTGGTGTTGTGTTTTTGAGTCTTACTATTTGGCCAAGAATATAATTTGTACTTTCAACAACTTTGTTCCTATTAAATAAAATATCAGTAGGTATATTGACTTTCTATTTAGTAGTAGCTGAAACTCTGAAGTTTTAGAAAAAGCAAATGCTTTTGCTGTAAAGTAAAAGGTTTTCACACAAATGACTTGCATTACAAGACTGTCTTTATTTAGCGATTAGAAGATAGCATGAAAGCATGTTGCAGCTGCAGTTTGTTCGCTATACTGAAATGCTTTTGTTCTTTTTTAGTATTTAAATGTTCATGCTAACTCCTCCCATCCTGTCTACTTTGTGTTTAGATTGGTGAAAGACAAAAAACTTGGAAATGACTCAGAGAAGACAGCTAGAAAATTTGTCTTACAGAACAAATATGTTATATGCACTTTATGAGCTCTTCTGTGTGGAGGATTATGTGTACGCAAAGTTAAAAAAAGCAGAAATATTCTAACTGCGGAAGTCAAAAAGGTGGCTTATGGAAGAGGTCTTGCCAGGGCAGATCGTCACTTGTCATGTATCTGCAATATTTGCTTACGACTGTAAAGATGTTTTAATGCAGTGTTGTTATTTGTCATCCCTTTTTGATATCCCATTTGCTTGCCATGCGTCTAACATCAGCCTTGACGCCAAACATCTCAGTTGTGTTTTCAATCTTTTTGAATAAATAAAATGGATATTTTTCTTTTCAAACTGGAAATATTAAAAGTGCTTCATCCATTTTCTAAGAACACCTGGGCGCCACAGCTCTACAGGTTTACTTTCCAAAGAAAATTATTTTCAGACTCTCACTGTGGTCCCTGCATTGCAGGTTGTGTAAGGCACCTCATGCTCAAGTTATAAGGACTGATTGCCGTTTGAGTCTATCACTGAGGAAACATTTTATCTATTTAGAAGTAGGATGTATGGTTTTAAATGATTTCTATGTGTGTTTGAATCATTAGGAATCAATGAAAAGCAAGGAACAATTGATGTGAAAAACACAGAGTAGATCCTTACTTTTGGGGAGTTCATTTTCCTGTTGATACATTTCTTATCAGCATGAACAGCAGCACTGGAGAAGGGAGGCAGTGGTGATGCACAACCAATAGAAAGATAAGAATAAGGCGAACGTCTTGAATATCTTGCACACGTGCCAATTTATGGTGACGATAGGACAGTGCACTTAGGAGTCATCGTGACAAATCAATCATCCCTCCTCTGTGCTGGTAGTGTGAGTGCAAGTAAAATATTGACTATATCAATAGTTTCTGGAAGCTGAGCAGTACTGTAACCCTCACTCAGTTGTATCCTGGTTCTTTTATTCTTGTCAAAATATCCTAGAATCTTTTGGCTCTGATATTAGTACCATTATTTAAGGATGTTGCATTAATGAGCAGTTTTCTCTAAACGCTGTCTTCTAAGTGCTCTTCAAGTGCAGACTCTGCTTTTCTAGCAGACTTTTCTTGTCTTGCATCTGGCAGATAGATACTTGAGGTTATTTCATAATGCAAAAGGCAGTCTGACTCCATTTAATTTATTTCCTTTTTGTCTAATGGCATCATTAATTATACTGTGAGAGTTGTCTCTGCAGCGGCTGTGACCAGAGGAAAGAAAAAACCCACAGTCTTTGGGTGCTGTAGGAAAAGAATTGAGGTGTTTGATTTCTTTTCTTTGATGGGTTACTTGAGCATAGAAAACTGTCACAATTTTTGTTGATTGCAAATAGCAATTTTGCTTGTTCTAGGTATTCCAGACCTGTCCCAAGGAGGTTTCACTGCTCAGTAGTGTAAGGGAGAAGAAACTGCAGTACCACTCACTGATGTTCTACTTTGGGAAGAGTTTGTGATAGCAGCTAATCCAGAGATTTTGTAACTCAGCTTGAAGTAAAATCAGGCATTATCTACGAATTCTGAATATTTAATGCTTAAAGATTATTTTCTATTTGGGTTCTGATTAGTATTTCCAGTTGCTGACAAAGGTGAGAGTTACCAAAGTATCTGCTGTGGCAAAAAGTTTAAAAAAAAAAAAAAAAAAAAAAAAGTCTTAAAATTTTGCAGTACCAGTATTAGTAATCTTATTTCATCTATGCGGGTAATACTGCAAAATGCTTTAAGGATGCTTGAGCGTATTTCCTTGCTAAGAGAGTAATTGATTATACACAATTTGCCTTTTTAGTAATCAACATTGGGTAATAGTCTTCAGTTATTTTTCTTTTTATTGTCAGTCCTCAGTTAACTAATCGGAAAATTTGTGGAATGTGTATGTACATAGTGTGCGTATAGTCATAAAATCTCTTGAGTTTTGATGGTTTAAGATCTTAGAGTATACATGTAAGACAAAGACGTGAGGTAGGCATGTGTATTTATAAGATTTGATGTGAAAAGAATCTTATCAGTATTTGCATGCAAGGAATTTTTAGGAGTGCGTGGGTTTCTGATGAGATGAAAAGAAGAAGCAGGTAAACATACTGAAGTCTGGTATTCTTTCAACAGAAGACTGTCATTTCCTAAACTGGAAGTAATTTAATCATGTTTGTATCTGGAGTAGTTAAATGAGATAATTTGCCATAATTACTTCATGTATAACAAGGTCTGTTGCCATTTGGATTTTATATTATAATTTGAATCCTCAAAGGAAAGGAGCTTAACCACTGGATGTTGAAAATAATCAATATATGTCATTATTAAGATTTGAACAGAGGCTATGTTTCAAATGTGTCTTTAGAAATCCCCTGTCAAGCTGAACCTTTGCCTGTGATCCTGTTGCTACAGTCTGCTACATGTGTATATGATGTAAAGAAACAGCTTTGACCATCCCAAATGACTGCATTTGTTGTGTGTTGCTGTTGGGACAGAACTATTTAAATATCTTAATAATTGTTTTTGTTCTATTTTACTGAGCTAGAAGGAAAAGCTGTTATATAATTAAGGAACTATTTCCAAGAAAGTGGGTAGCACTAAAACTGTTATTATAGGTTCATTGCAAAGCATGTGAGTATTTGTGGTTGATGTCTAATGCTGTACAAGTGAGTGAGAGTAATCTCTGTCCAGAGGAGTTTCTTTCTAGTGAAAATCTAATTGCTCAAGAAAAACAGAGGTTCTGCGTGAATAACTTTTCATGTTTGCTGGTTGTCAGGCAGAGACTACAGCGCAAGGGGCTGCTGCTGGAGTGAGTGACAGCCATAGCTGCATACAGAAACACATTTCCATCCTCAGTAGCAACTAATTTTTGTCATCAGGGTAATATTTGTTTTAGCATAGCCAAGGAGAGACCTAGAATTGACTTAAATACTTCGGACTCACTTAAATGATGTAATACAAAAACATAAGTTTCTGATACACTCTGTTAAATAACTGATTCTGTGTATTTAATTGTGTATCCTCCTGATGGAAAGTATTTGCTTTAAGGTTGTTAGTAGTATTGTACTTACCTGCATCTCTGTTCTACAAAGCAACCAAAAGAAGGAGTACTGCTAAAATTATGATGTTGTCTGGAATTGGCACCAGGATACACATCTTGTATATAGCTTTGGCTATTCTTTGACTTTTTTCCCTGAAAGACAGGCATGTCTTTTGTATCATAATTAATTTACATGAAGAATTTTGGTCTGTTACTGAAATAGTTGGAATGATTATCAGACTTGAATTTGGCGATTAAGCTGTAGAGCCGAATCCTACCACGTGTTATATGATAACAAGTTTCCTTTGATTGTCTAGCTTGCTTTTGAAAGATAGATTCTGTCTGTAGTCATTCATTCAATTATCTTACTTATGATTTTATAAAGTAGGATTAGAATAAATTAGGTTTGCGTGGGTTTTTTAGTGTGTTTTGGTTGGGTTCCCCCCCCACCGAAAATGATCCCAGGTGAAAAAAAAAATGCCCTGATGTTTCATGTGAACTTACTGTTCTTAATCAGGTTATTCTGTTTTCTCTGATAAGGTATGTTTGCAAATGCTAAAAGACTGTACATTTTGCTCTATTCCAGTGCCTGATGACCTCTCCATAGAAGAAAGAGAAGAGCTGTTAAATATTCGTCGCAGGAAAAAAGAACTGATTGATGATATTGAGGTAATTGGTTTATCTGTAAAGATCCTTAGAAGACTGCTTCGGTAGATTTAAGTTACAGTAAACTGCCTACCTCGGTGTGAATTCCAGGTAATGGTTTTAAAAGCATATAAATGGCTTAAGCTTTGTACTAATAATGAATAGGATTTGTGCTTTTAGAAATGGTAACTTCTCTATTTATGTAATGTAAGATGTGCATATGTACACATTTGATTTGTGTAATCAAGAACTCATTAAACAGCAGATTTGCGTACAGGATAGTAGTGAGTGAGAAATCTGGGTAAAGAAATCTTATACTGAAATTGGTAATGGCAATTTAGTCTTGATGCTCTGACAGGAGCACACACTGGGAGTTCAGATCCATGTGTTTTAACAGTCATTCAGTTGTGGTAAAATCTTTAAGCTAAATATCTAAGGAAGCCATAAGATTCATCGCTTTTCTTCAGGTGACTTAGCAAATACTAGAAAATAAAATTTAATTGATAGTATTAATATAGGATAAATGATTTCAAAAAGTGTTTTACTGTACATTAACATACTGTCTTTCTTTCTTTTGGCAGAGATTGAAATTTGAAATTGCTGAGGTTATGACAGAAATTGATAATCTGACTAGTGTAGAAGAAAGGTAAGTAATGCTAATGTATGGACATGATTCAGTAAGAGCTTGGAACAGGTCTTCCAGGAATAGCAAATACAAATAGCTTTATCATGCTAAACAAACATTGGATCACCTTTATTCAGTCTGTTATAAAGTCTCTAAAGCCTGACTTTATCCTGTTCAGGTGTGTCATTCATTTGGATAGAGAATATGTTGGATAGAATGTAGTATTTTAGACTGTCCAATTGATGATGATATAGTTATCTGAAACTGCAAACACTTGAAGGAATTGAAAATAGTAACATAATTTCACCCCTTATAAAAAGTGAGTGTCTCGTTTTGGTAATAGAAAATGCAAAGTATCCAAAATACAAATTAAAAGAAGCTCATCCAGAAGTAGTTGTTTTTGTAAAAGAGCAACTGATAACTGCTTGTTGTTTCTTCTTTTTCTCCATGTGTAGCAAAACTACACAAAGAAATAAGCAAATAGCCATGGGAAGGAAGAAATTCAACATGGACCCTAAGAAGGTAAAGAATGGTTTTTTTCCACTTGTCAGGAATCAAGTTCCTGCTTGTAATATCATCTATGACAAGTACAGTCATGTTTTCTTAAGAAAACATTTCTGATAATACAAGTTCACAGGCCTTATTTCTATATCCTATAACACACTGAACAGAAGGTTCAATTAGAAGCAGTCATCTAGTCATTTGCCAGTCGTGTGCTTTTTTCACTTAAGCAAACCTTTTTTGATAATGGAGGTTATTTATCAACAAACAAATATGCCAGGTATTGATTGAGCTGACTTGCAGAAAGATTATCTGAACCTGATAGAGATGTTCTATGTTGATATGTCAAATATAATTCCAAAAATATTTAGGTGTTTGGTTATTAGTGAGGCCATATGTATTTTTTATGCCCTCCTATTTTTGTTTCTTCCAAAATACCTTTAACATATTTTTTTAATTTGTGCTCATATAGACTTTTATATTTGCACATCTAAACTCCGTTTGTGAAAAAGGCATGTATGAACATCTGTACGTTTGTATACATATGTATATGTGTACCTACATGAATTCGGCAAACACCTTCAAGTGGAAACCTGGTTACCAATTCCAAGAAGTCTACCATGCATTTAACCAAAAAGTAAAGTACTTTGTTTCTCTGGAGTGCCTCTAGTTTTCTTAAATAATTGTTAATTTTGTGGAAAATTCAGGATCCTGTACATTCTCTTACAGACCTCCCCTGATATATTGAAAAGAGCTGCTTTGACATATTTGACCTTTAGCATTTACTTTTCATTTTACGTCTTCCTTGCTTTCTTTTACTGCCTTCTGTTGTTTGTAATTGAGATTCCATTTTCAATTTGTGAAGAGCCTTCTTTAAGGTCTTTTTGGAAATTGTTTAGCATTTGTTTTTCTGTGTTAGTTCTTGACATGTTTTCTTTCCAATTGTATTGAATTCAGTTACATTTTGGTGGCTTTTATGTAATGTTCCAAGTATGGTGATGGCTACTATTCTTCAGGCTGTTTTCAATTTACCGGAAGTGCTCAAGTACTTTGAGATATAGAACCCTTTTTAAGCTACTGACCGTGTCTTTTATTTTTATTTTCTGTTTTGGTGACAGCTTTTGTTGAGGGCAGAATACCCCCAAATGTCCTGATAGTTTACTGGTGTCCTCCAGCTCTTTCATGTCCTAGGAGTTTGTGGCAAAGTCACAGGATGATGTCACATGCTTTCATTCCAATGTTAACTATTTTTTGTTACTGTTCTTGCTGGGTGAAATTATTTCTATAAATAGATGCTGTGGCTGCATTGCTACTGTAACATAATTTAAATGTGGTAAACAGACTTACAGTAGTAATTTCTTAATAATGTCTATGAATCAGTGGTGGCCTGCAGTAGCTGACTGCTCTAAAGCTAGATCTTTTTGTTGTTTGCAGCTGCTACTTTAAATTGCAGGCAGCTAGAATATGCATCCTTCTAATGCTGAGAGAATTAACTTGAGGTCATTGCAAAAAGGATGTTTTTATTTCATAAATGGGAGGGAAGGTGGACTCTGGAGTTAGGAATGTGAAAGAACTGGGGTAATAATACACGTGCTGAATCCCCCAGGTTTTCTTCTTTAAAACTTCATGGATCTAATGTTTTCGTATTAGCAGGAACACAGCGAGGTGATTTTCTTTTACCATTTTTATTTGAAGATCTTCACATGTTCTAGTATGTAAGAGAGCAGTTCTCCCTGCCCCTGCCCAGAAAATCCTCATTCAAAAAAGTTGTGTTTGACGCAGTTACATGATGTGGTATCGCGTACCTTGCTGTTTGGATCTGGTTAGCTCGTGTGGGAAGAGCTGTCATGGTAAAGTTTGTAAAAACACTTCAAGAATCCCTGTGTGGAGGACATAAAGCTGTGCTTGAAATTCACAGCACTAGAAGTCAGTACTGCCTGCGTTGGGCCCAGAAAATGAATTTTCTATGACAAAGGCAGGGTTTAAATAACTGCAAAATTTCAAAGCAGATTTCATTGCACTGACTTGAAAAAAGTCTATGCAATATTTGTAATGAATATTGACTGTTTCTGCAGCCATGAATTTTGTGTGGGGAGGTCAAACTAGTACAGCTGTCTTCTGTCTCCTGTCAGTCTACAGAGAAAAAATTTGCATCAAGACAAAAGATAGTGTAGGAGTTGATGGGGATTTGGCTGACCTATTTTACCATTTATTCCAGACGCTGGAGTTGTTGTCCCAGACAAACTCCTTTTCCTGTCTATTTGACTTCTGGTTCTTTAATATCTTAAGAATAAAAAAAAAACCAGGAAAAAAAAAATCCAGAAAAAGGAATATTTAATTGATTTTTGTAGTATGTTAAAATATCTGCTTCTGTGCACAGAAATTTGTTTTCCGTGCTTCTAATCATGTCCATTATCTTTTTCAGTAACTTGTACAACTTTTTTAAAACTATTCTTGTCAGTCTGTTTACACTAAGTGTGAATAATACGGTCCAGGTGTTGAACAAGGGAATTTGCAACTGCTATTTCTGATGTTTGTTATAAGGATGGTTCTCTGTTGGTTGACAGAGCTGAGAGCTTTTTTGAATAGCTTGGGATGGGAAAAAAACATTATGTTTCATAGTCAAATGAATTTTTTGTACAAATATAGTTATCAAATAAGCTCTGAAGGGATCATTTTTGAGGAAAGCTCAGCTATTTCTGCTTCAAGATAAAATGGATATGTTCTTTGCAAGGAAGTCATGTCTGTTCTGAAATGACTTACCAAAATATTAAGTTGTCAGAGTCAGAATACCAGCCTGCATTGAAATCAAGTTTTCAGATGATGATAAAATTGTTTTGAGAGAATTGCATTTGAGACTTTTTTTTTAAAAAAAGCTTCAAGCCTTGTAACATCACAGTTCATTTTCTTTGTAAAGTTAGGTCAGAAAATTGACTTTTTTTGTCAAGCAAGTAATAATTTCATTATAAAAAACCAGAATTGACCAAACAGAAGGATAATTACTTTTTTGAATGTTACTGCAGAGCCTCCTGTGCTATATCAAAAAGAAAAGAAGAAAGTTTTCCCAGTTGTAGTGAAATAAAAAAGAAATATATTCCATTTGCAGAAATTGAAAATTCTCTAATATTTCTGAAATTATGAAGTATCCTAGTAGAAAAGATTCGGACTAATTTATTAAGCTCTTCTGTGTGTGTTTGGTATCCAAGAGATTAAGGTTACTTACAGTTGCCATTTCTACTTTTCACTGGCATGCCATTAACAGTGCTATGAATAGCAACATCTTTGGGATGTGTGGTGGGGAAAAAAAGAGCACTATCTCTTCATGACCTGCTGAGCGTTAGAATAACATCCCTTCCATCGTTTAAGTAATCTTTATATAACTCTTAGTCTCCTTTCTTTACCACTTTGCAGAAAGTTCTCTGGGCATCCGTAGTGAGTGCCAGTTATAGGGCCAGTAATTTATGGAGGCATAGGAGTCCAGGGGCTTGATCAAGTACCCACTGAGGGACAGGGTAAGACTCTCCTCCTGGCTTTGATAGAAGCTCTGTGGTAGAAGCTTGACTGGTTCATGAACAGTCCTTCGTGAATAGTCTAGTTCAAGTCCTTTGTGAGTAGTTTAGTTTCAGCACAACCAGAAGTCACCGATAATTCCAGTGTCAGCATAAACTCTTTTAAACCGGTTTCAGTATCTTCAGCTGCGACTTCTACTGCAAGTAGTGGCTTGATGTATTGGTTTGCAGTTTGTAGATTTTAACAGATGCTTTGTTTTGTGACATGGTGGCAATTAAGTTATTCCTACATACCTCTTCATTATATGATTTTACAGATTATGTCTCTGCAGATATTTATGCAATATTGTGAACAGGCCAACTCACACATTGACTCCAAGGAGCAACATGGAGTAATTAGTCAATTAAAATTTGATATTTCTATTGGTGAGGGATTCAAACTGCCACCTAATACTTCTAGCCTTAAAGATGTATTCTCATTTCAGTCTTTAAACCTGTACTAAATATTGCTTATCTAACTAAAAAACATTTGTTTACCATTTCATTTAAAAAAAAATCTATAGGCTAATGTAATTCTTAATGTGCTATGTATATGTCTGTGTCAGCGTATTAATACCAAATGTTTTGAGTGGTATTTACTTAAATGCTTGTGGAAGAAAACATAACACTCCTTTTCTTCTGGAATTGCTCTTCCTAGGGAATACAGTTTCTGATAGAAAATGACCTCCTGCAGAACACTGCAGAAGACATTGCACAGTTCCTTTATAAAGGAGAAGGATTAAATAAAACGGTAATTGGAGATTACCTCGGTGAAAGGTAAAATAAAAATATGGAAACTTTGTTCTTGAGTTTACAAAGCATACTTAAGAGTTTTGGTAGTTACCTTCCCCTTCACAGGCTGCATGAGAGATCTACTCTAGTACGAGATGTGTAAAAGCTACAGTGGGAAGTAAAACTGCTATGGTATTGTGATAGTTTTTTTTCTTTCTGTTAGGTTGTTTTTCTTTTTAAATTGCTATATTGTGGAATGATATTTAATTTATTGTAACTTCTTATTTTGAGAAAATACCCTTAAATTTGGCTATAGCGCAGAATTTAATACTATAAGCTTTTGGAATGTCTGAGAGTTGTGTTGCAACAGTTCCGGTAACTCTTGATACTCTGCCTAGACAAGTGATTTACAATCACTAATAATTGGATAGTAAAGAACTTACTTATTAAAGTTCCTGGGACAATAGTTATGAGCAGGTTTTAGTGTTGTTGTCTTCCCTGCACACAGACTTCCCATTAGTAAGTAGGCGTCTCAAAGGGCAGCTGCACCATATCTTTATCAATCCTAGTACAATAAACATGCAATGTGCATATTTATGCATACTATTGCAAAACACAATCAAGATGCAAATTACTTCCATTGCTGTGCAACCCAGGAATTGATTTTGAAAAAGGCAGCAGAAAGAGACAGAACTGAAGAGTGGGCTGGAGTACATGTATCTACATGCTTGCACATGTTCCAGTTCAGATGCCAATTATGGAGGTTTAAAAACTGACTCATTTAGGATATACTCCTGTAGTGATATGTTCTGGCAGATCCCTTTTGAGGCACCCGTAATCTGTTTACAGCATCAGTGGCTTAGTTTGTGCTCAGCAATTTCCTTCTGACTTTGGTAGGTTTAATGGAAGTTTTCACTGTAATGTGTGTATTTTGAAAATAGAATTTTGCTATGAAGTTTCTTTATAGTATATGCAGACGTTTCAACAATTTTTATACAACAGCATTATGTTGTTTCTCTGGAATATTTGGGCAATCAGTACTAAAAAATCACTTACATGTTAATGTCCATAGTTGCAAAACTGTAGCAAAGCTTATATGAAGCAGTCTGTGTTCATTTTTGAGAGCTGCACTCTACCTTGATACTGTCCTCGGAAATACTTCCAGTTTTTCTAGCCCTATTCCCAGAACCTCTGTACTCATACCAATATGTCCAGGCCCACTGGAGTCATCAATAACATTCGTGTGACTATTTATGGGTTCACATTTAAAATAAAAAAAATTACTGCTCATTCTTTTGCATCCCTGGCAGGGATGCTGCTGGACAGCACTGTGGTCTAATCTGAAAATACAGGGCAACCTTTCTTAATATTGAGTATGTATGCAGATAAATATGCAATTCAATTACATCTTCTGAATTTTTTGAGACTTAAATACAGACAAATACAGTAGTCATACTGAATAGCAAATTTGATCAGGAAATTTTGTATTAATCTATCAGCTGGATAATAAAATCTTAGGAAAAGTGAAAAAAATGAACATACTGCTCCTATTTTGCCACAAGGCAGAGGCAGCCTATCCATTTTAAGGAGCAGTTGCAGTCAAAAAGGAATTTAAATTAGTTTTTGCTTTAAAAGGAACTTTTATTTGGTGTATCCAGTCAGTCTAATTTAATTGTTTTTTTGCATTTTTCTTCATTTCTGTGAAGGGTGTAATATTAATATGGTAATGGGAAAGCAAATGGTATTTCTGTCTATTTTTTTCCTTCACTTATATGAATTAGTAAGGGGGAGTGCAGGTGAAGAGATGACAGTCTGATTTTCAGGAATGTGTGTCGAAATTTCAAGGCAGTCAGGTCTGGAATGGGGAATTGGTTCATCATGCTCCTTTGATCTGCAACATTAATTTGCTAGAATCCTAATAATTTTTATTCATATTCCTCTGAAAAGAATGTATTAGGCCTTTAGTTCCTGGGGTAAAAGAAATACCTTGGGATAAAATAAAATGTGACAATTGAGGTGGTCTTAAGCTGCTAGTTTTGCTTTTGTGACTACCTCAGAAACAGGTTATTAGGTGATTTATGCTATGCAAATGGCAGTGCATATTATAGGTGAGTTTTTGTTGAGTTATGTACTATCTTTTATCAAAGCATTTGGAGTCTGAGGACACTCTCTTTTGCTTTGCCACTCCCTCTTGGAGGCCCATCATGAATTACTTCTGCATTCTAGCTAAATATAGCTGAAGACAAGACCAGGATAGTAAACAGAATGAAATATTTGTATAACATTCTGCCATAAAGAGATATATTTTAAATTCTTGACTTTTATAGTGTTACAGCACTGAGCAAACTGAAAAAAGTGAATGGTAAAATGGAATGAGATAATACCTAAAAATGTACAATAAATAAGGGATGAATTGCATCCTATAAAAGATCTAAAATTTCTTTATATGTGGGTAAGTCTTCACTTTTTTTTAAGCGGCCTCCTAGACCTTTCATGATATTTGACTTGTGTACCCAGCACAAGTATCACTATTAATCCAGTCTACATTAAAACGTAGAAGAGTAAAAGTTAGAGTATAAAGCTAGTATTTGTTCTGAATTACTGCAGCTTTACGTACATATAAGCAAAATCAGTATTTGGCTTAGAGCAATGAAGTACCTCTACTGAGTACTCTCTTTTATTGTATTAGTGCCACTTCACTGCACTGAGAAGTAGTCATGCAGTTGAATTGTCCGTTACTAAATTTGATGAGAATTGCTTTATTTTTCTTGACAGAGCTAATATGTTTTTCTGTAGACAACATGGGGAGATCCTAATGAATGAATAGTTTGTTTTAGGTATTTACTTGTGAGTGTTACAGGTTAGACTGACTGTGCATTTAGTCAGTAATGCAACAGATAGTTCTTGGTGGGTGCACACCTTTCTATTTTTGGGTGGAGGCAGATATGCAACATTCTGTCTTGGTGATGTATTTAAAGCACACCCTGAGGATTATAAACATTTACACTTCTGGCATATGAACTCCGTGGTGGTGTAAGCTAAATTCTGTCTGCATCCAAATAGTTTTGTGTTCATGAATGTTTAAATGTTACTTTTGCATTTAAACACCTTTGTATCAAACAAAGCATAATTTGGCTCATTATTTATGTAGCAATGTAAAAGATAGGTGAGAGGAAGCCCGTTCAAAACCTAACCTGATTTTAGTAAACTTTCATTGTAACAATTTTTGAGAATGGGGTAAGAATATAGTATGTACTAGGTAGCTCTCTTAAAAAGATGTTCTTTTTCTTAGGTACAATCAGTTGAAGCATTTTTGTTTCTCATCTTTGTACATAAATTTATATAATGCTTTAATATTTTCTGTTCTTGGAGGAAAAAAAGGGAGTAGTTTGTTTTTCATGTGTTATATGACTGAAGAAATTAATCTTACATTAACCATTGTTTTAAGAGTTCATGAAACAATTTCTGCAGAAGATTTTTTACTGGATAAATTTATCAGGTATCGTCCCATAGCAAGGCAGGTGCAGTAATAATAAATGTGAAGCAAAGAAGGTCAGGCCATTTTAGAGTAATTTAAATAAGCAGTGCTAAAATCAGTTCGAGTATACTGGCTCTTGCTAACCTATCAGCACAAATGGGCAAAATACTAGTGTTAAATATTAAAATACCTCTCAAATAAACGTATAAACTATTTCGAATGACTTGATTTGATCAGTATGATAATTTATTTCCTTGCTTATTCTCAGAAGCAAATAGAGATAGCTAACGTGTAAATTTCTGAATTGTAATTGTCTGGTTCAATTTTTGTCTTTCATAGAGATGAATTTAATATTAAAGTTCTTCAGGCTTTTGTTGAACTCCATGAGTTCGCTGATCTCAATCTTGTACAAGCCTTAAGGTGAGTAAATTCTTTCTTTTTTTTGACCTGAGCTTCCTTTATCGAACTGCACGTTCATATGAGTCACTGTTGATTTATTTGTCAGAAAGCTGATCTACAGCTCAGCTCAATTATACGCATTACTGTGCAAGTTAGCAGAGACAGCACTGTTTTAACCCTTCCAATTGCTTGTGCGTGTGCTGCCTTTGAAGATGAAAACTTTTAATAATTTCAGACAAATACAAGCAACTAAAACATAGCCATAACTCTTTGGTGTGCCTGCCATATTCGGACATTTGAAGATTTGTTTTTTATCTTAGCACAGAGACAGGTAAAACCAAAACAAACTCCTAACCCAAACAAGTAAATAATTTTCTTTGCTGCCATCTTCTTTCTCCTTTCCTTCCACCTCAGCTTGTTCCTCTGGGCGGGGAGGTGGGGGAATTCCACTGACCATAATTAGTGATTATGTTCAATTGCAGAGATAGACTTTGAACCAAGTAATTTCCTTCTGCTTCCCTCAGAGTTACCCGTTTGTCATGTGAAAGAAAGTGTAATATCTTAGTAAACTTTTTTTCCCTTGCAACGTTAACGGTTTGCTTGATTTCTCTGGGATGCTAGCATGCAGGGACCTTGTGAAGTCCCTTCTCGTCTTGGTGGAAATCCATAATAGATCTGGCAGATTAGGTTGATGTAGACAGTTCTGCCAGTTTCATTGCAACAAGTGACTCCCTCCTGACACCAGATAAATTGAAATGTCTGTGTGATCTTTGTCTCTGGTGCAGTTCCTTGCGATGTGGAGTCAGAACAGCTTTGCTATGGTTGAGTGACATGGTGATGGTAACTTGAGCTGCCTCAGGCTTGAGCTAAGGAAGCCTTTTCTCTGGCTGCTGAAGCTTGTCTTGGAGGCTTCATGTTCCTATCTCTTTTAGCCAATTTAACGTTAGGTGTGACTTTATTCTTCCTTAGCAGCTGCTACTATTAAATGTTTGTATTTTGGTAGCTTACAAAATTCGTGATCTGGGTTGGAACCTTGCATGAGGTGAGTAAAAGACAGTATATAGAGCTGACAAACTAAAGATGGCCTGCAACACCGTAATATAATGTTCTAAAATGAAAACTGATGAAGACAGGAATAAATGGATATTATATTGGGACCAAGTGTACAGGCAGTATCGAGAACTTGTGCATGGCAGAGCATGTAACTTTGCTGGGTTAGATCCTGTTTTAATCCAGATAATTCTTTTGCTAAGAAAGAAAAGAACAAATTATTAAATTCATTGGAGCTTTTTAGCACCACAGTGTGCCAAAAGTAAATTTGTGAAGACTTCTGTCCTGTATGCATTCCAGTGTACCTATATGTAGAAAGAGTAAGTTATGAAAGTAAAAACTGTATTCCGGTTTATGCTGCTAAACAGGAGCACAGATCTCCTCCACATATTACAAAATTACTAAGATGATATCATGAGTCTTTCTTTTTAAGGTCTAGGTCTGATTCTTGCAGGGTGAACTTACACTAGACAGGTGGCAGCTCTCTAAGCACTGGGGTTTTCCTTGTTGTTTTTACTATTTTTAAAATGTTTTTGATGAGTTCAAGTAAAGATGTGAAGTGGTTTTGTATTCCTTGCTTCTCTCCCCTACTAGAAATATTTTATGTAACATGTCCTTTACGTCGTAAGTCTAGCTGAGTGTTTATTGCTTTTAGTAGCCAGGAAACCCAGGGAGGATTGAACTGATTGTTTCCTCATAGCATTCTCATGGCAAAAATGGGATGCATACAGAAAATTGTTTACTAGTCTGGAAAAAAGAGAGGGTCTCAGAATATGAACTGCCATATTATCTTGCCTGATAGCATGCAGTGTTGCTGGCTGAATTATTGGGCTAGCCATCTGTGCATGTTGCTTTACAATAGCTCCTGACTTGTGTGTTGAGAGATTGAGAACATATTTCTAGGACGTTTTATATAGACGTTGCTCACTGGTTTGTTTTTTCTTCTTCTTTTGTTTTCCTGGTTATTAGTAATATATGCTTAATATATAAATATTGGAATGGATCTAATAACTGTTCTTCCCTTCTGTAGGCAGTTTCTGTGGAGCTTCAGACTCCCAGGAGAGGCTCAAAAAATTGATCGTATGATGGAAGCTTTTGCTTCACGCTATTGCCTTTGTAACCCAGGAGTCTTCCAGTCTACAGGTTAGTCACAGGAAACAATAGGAGTTCTTGAGTGTGTGTGCATAAATTTTTTTTTTTTTTGATCATATATGTTCTTCTACATTTGATGAGAGGAGACAATGGCCATTTTGGAAGTTCAGGGTAAAATAATATATGAAATGAGAAATTTCTGAGAACTGAGAAAATGCAACTGCCTAATCGTATACTTTGTTTTCAGGAGGTGCAAGTTTATGGTCAGAATGCATTTCCATTTATAAAACTTCAGCATTAATGTCTATCTAAACCAATTAAAGTATAAAACACACTTTAGAAACGTCACCAAAGGTTTTGGCTAGGAATTGGAAAAGTAAGATTCTCAGGGGCTTAAAGGCAGAAGTGACCAATAGGTTGGGTCATCTCGTCTGTCAGTTATAAGGACTTTACACCTTATTATCTCTGTATCACGTCCACCTATATGTGGTTATGGTGGGTTATCTAGAATGCAATCCATTTTTGTTATGAGGACCGTATCCTTTCTCTTTAGCAGTCTGCTCAGTGATCATTTATCTCGGTTAGAAATGTGCCTCACTTTTCCATTGAATTACTTGGTTTAGAATTACTCAAGTCATAAAAGCTAACAAAACTTTGTGATACTGCACAGAATGCCCTAGCATTCTGGCATTGTTGGTCTGTTTAGTTACATACACGCATAGCTTGCTGTTGATCACTTAGTTTGAGGAACAAATAGGGTAGGAAAAGGTTGATGTAAAGCAGGTCTGCAACAACTAGAGAGGAAAATACGTATTAAAAACAAAATGCTGAAGATGCAAACACAGCAGAGATGTTTCCATCCTGCTTTTTCTTACACAGGATCTTGTATTTGAATTCTGGGAGAATTTACTATAATCATAACTATGTCCACAGGCATGGTAAGGTCAACTTTGTCACCTTTTGATGTTATTCGGTGGTACTAGCCACCTTATGTATGCCAAGAAATTGAGTCAATGTCATATTCAGTCTGTTTAAATGCAGTTCAGATATTGTTTTGAAGAGACTGTTCTTTCTCTTTGGAGAAAGCTTTGGAAGCACTGAGCAGGAGTCTGATTGGCCAAGTGTACTATAGGATCTACCAATATGATCTAGGCAAAATCTGTGTGCAGAGAACGTTTTGCCCAACAACACTGCGGTGTTTCAAGTGAAATGTTAATTTAGGGTGATAGCAATGATTTCAAAGGGTTAAAAATTTTTTGGATTCTCTTGTACTGTTTTTCACATACTGGCTTTTAATTTGAATTGTTACATATTTTTTCTTCTTAGGCTTACTTCAACAGTTTAAAGAAAGACTTGAGACTTTGCTTTTGTGTATAATGTGCAGCAATTTTTGACTACCTGTTTCCTTTTCTTTATCAGTCAGGATGATATCCTTTTACAGATTTTACATAGATAAATAATTTTTCAAATCTTATTTCAGATACATGCTATGTGCTTTCATTTGCGATCATTATGTTAAATACCAGTCTGCACAACCACAATGTAAGAGATAAACCAACAGTAGAGAGGTTTATTTCTATGAATCGAGGAATTAATGAAGGTGGAGACCTTCCAGAAGAATTACTACGGGTAAGTTAGACTGGGTAAGACAAGGCATTGCTTTGTGTTTTTAATAGGAAACTTAGAAGCATGTACAAGAGTTCTCAGGCAAATTTGTCCAGGGAAAAGTAAGAACATTTTCTGCGATGCATAACCTTTTCAGTAGCTGAAAGAAGCATTTTCTGATATTCACAGCTGCTTTGAGCTAGTTCTGTCTATATTCAGTCTTTCGTTGAGGAGAGGAGATTCCAGAGAAAACACTCTTGTGTATCTCTCAGTAGTTTCCTGATGGCAAAATTCTTGTGGAATTGGCTTCTTATGGAAAAAAAAGTAGTATTTCTGGATAAGTCAGAGAAAGTGGGGGAAAAGTAGTAAAAATCATTGTTTCGTTATTACCTCTCGTTTCTTTCCATGCGTCTTGTGGAGCTTCCTCCTGTCCCTTGTGATATCAGTAAAAGTATTTATTTCTCTAAGACAATGTGGTGGTCTAAACCATTTTCTGAAAACCCAGATTCATTTGGCAAAACTTGTACTAAATAGGACCTGAAACTGAAACTTTTGAAATACTGAATGCTGAAGTTAAAGAAAAAATGCCTTTGCTAGGAGTGCTTCTAAAATCTGTAAAAAGAGACACTTGTTTATAGATGAAGTAGTTTAAAATCAAACTTAATCAAAGTAGTAAACGAAGATTGAGAAGGGATGGTCCAGAATTTTATGGACAGTATTTGCTATGCTTTTTATACAAATAGTCTAAGAAGCAGTAAGATGTCCTGGTTGCATTTTCTGTTAGACATTTATTAATGAGGTCTTTTTCCTCTTTTTTTTTTATTCTTCTAGAATTTATATGAAAGTATTAAGAATGAGCCGTTTAAAATTCCAGAGGATGATGGAAATGATCTAACGCATACATTTTTTAATCCAGATAGAGAAGGTTGGCTGCTGAAATTAGGTTAGTTTTAAGGGCAGTTTTGCTGCTATATGTTTGTTTGTTAGCGTGTTTGCTGCTTTCCTGTCTATCTGCTTTCTTGTGAAGGTAATAGGATTAACTTTGTAATTTGTATTTAAAAATCTATGAACCAAGATAAGTAACTCCTTTAGGTCTGAAGGTTGTTACTTCTTATTTTACATATCCAAATTAGCAATCTTGTTTCAGAGTTTGAAGTTTTATTTCTGATACATGAGAAATAAAACCTCAGCGACAAAAAGGAAACGCCATACGGTATTTACCACGTGCTGTAACCGATAGATAACAACTATGCCTCCATAAGGTCATTTCAGAAAACTGAGTGATACTTCAACTCAGTTTTCTGTGTACAAAAGAAGGATTTCTCTTCAAATAGTTGGTTTTGTATGTCTTTATTTTTCCATATTATTTGTGAGTTCTCTTGGTTTGGTTTTGGCTATGATTTTTTAATGAGTGGTTTAAATGTGCCTTCTTGTTTTCCTTATGGCCTATGACCTATCACCTTTCTGTTCTGTGACTGGCTGTCTCTGCTTATTCTGCATTAGGAGGTACGTATCTGATTGCTTTCCAGTCCCCTCTTCTTCAGTTGCTCATTCTTTTATTTTCTTCCTCCTTCCTCCTGGTTTTTTTCTTTTTTTTTTTTTTTTTTAAATCAAATTTATTGTAGCATTTTGCTTTTTCACTCAGTGTCACTAACAGTATCATCAGTGGTACTCTGAAAGACTGGCATGTCAGTGTCTAGTTCACATGCGAGTATTCTGCAAAAGAAGAAAGTGTTTACATGTAAAGGAGAAAAATAAAGATGACTATTCGGCATATTTTCTCGTTCATTGAAGAACATAACAAGGGGAGAATAATTTCTGCTGAGAGAAAACAACATGTCTTACTCTTGTAATGAAGTTCCAGAGTGATTTTGTTACTTATGTATCAATTATATTAGATGATTGAAAGATTGATTACATTTGAACTGTACATTTATAAAAACTGTTCTTTTTCCTGCTAATTTTCCTTTGCAAATAATATATTTAACTCACTTAACAGAATCTTATATGAGCACCAAATTTGGAGTTGCAGAAACCTCCGGTAATTTGCAGTCTCCTGGCACTGCAAGATGCCTTTATTTACAGACTTTTAAAAAGTAGATGGGATTCACTTTTTCACTTCGGCTTACAAATTCTTTTTCATATATAAAGGAGGCAAATTTTAATTTAACATTTGTTTTTCACTGAAATAAACCTCTTTATATAAAACACCAGTACAGACTACAGTAGATCCAGTTGGCCACTTTAATGTATAGCTGCTTGTTAGAGTAAAAGGAACTTTGCACTTGGAGAATGGTGACTAAAGTGTGAAAAGGGACGTGTGCTGGGGGGTGCACATGGGGCTGAGTATGGTGAAAGTAGGGCCTGGTTAGAGCCGTGGGCCTGCTCTTCTGATTGTGCCTGGAAATTAGTGGTCATGCTAGTGCTGGAGGGAAATAGATGCGAAAAGGAAGCATTTGGAATTCATTCACCTGCTCTCCGATACCTGTCTTTGACCTCTGCACTACAGTTGCTGTAGAGCTCTTTGTCTTTCTAGCTATAAAAGAGCAAAGCTCTTGCTTTTTGACCTGTGTTGGCTCAGCTGGCACAATTTCAAAGTTGACTTTGCAGGTTTTCTCCACTTTGTAGCATCAGGCGATAGCTATCTCAACAGAAAAGGCTTTCAAGGTGATTTAGATAAAATGTGCTTTTTGGAGAATAGGTTGGGTATAAACCCATGCCTTGCACATTTTCTGTTGCCAGTGCACTCTCATACGCTTATACACGTACTGAGAGTGCAAGCAGGAGTGTGAGTGTGGGTAGAGGAGTGACAACATCCCTCGTGGAAGAAACTGTCCATAAAAGACATATAAGAAATCTAATAAAAAATAGAGAAACAAAGAAATTGAAGTTAAAAGGTGACTGAAAATCAGTGAGAGCTGCCAGGTACTTCTGCACAATCCATCTCTGGCTCTGGAGCAAGGTCAATAAAACCAACTTTTCATTATGTACAATGTAGATGAGAGACAGTGCACAGAAAACCCAATAGTAAAACGTGTCTGAAACGGAAGGGTGTTGCACGCAACACTCCCATGGCATGAGGGTTATTTGAATAAAGAAATGAAACATGTCCAGAAGGCTCTGGTGAATCAGCCTGTAAATGCGTGAATGCACTTCCGTGAAAGACTGCGTTTTTTTCAGCAGAGACTGGTACGGACAAATACATTTTGCTAGTTTAGATGCATTGACCAGAAATAAACCTGGCAATCTTTTTTTTTCTTTTTTTTTTTTTTTTTCCTTTCTCTCTTTCTATCTCTCTCTCTTTCATTCTTTCCTCTCCCTTGAGTTTCCTATTTGCTAGGAGGCTTAAACTGTATGTTGAGACTGCTGTCTTGATCCACATTGTTTGCATTTTTACAGTCCTTTCTGTTGGGAAACACTTCTTGTGAAATGGGTAGGGTTTCCTTCAGTTCTGGAAGATGCTGATACTAAAAGTTCCAGCATTGTTGAAATGCCAAGGAGACTCTCTTCCTGCATGAGAGTTTAAGTGCTCAGTTGTGATAATTCTTAAAAGTTGGAATAGAAAGTTTTATATAGAACTATAAATATGACTAAGAAAACTCACAAACCTTGAGTATATCAAGACAGTATTTTGTATTTGATATTACTTATAGTTAACACTTCCCATTTATCTGCTGTGCCCCTCATTTTAGTATTCCAACTCACTGTATTGATTGTCCTCTGGGCAGTAGATGTATGTCATGAAACTTTCATATATTGTAAAATCCAAGACCACCCCAGCTCTCTAGCTTGGCATTGGGTTTTAGAAAGCTGGGAGGGTGCAAAATGTGTTTGGAGAGTTTGCTGCTCTGAGTTTTTCAGAGGTGACTTTGTGTAAGTCTGAGTGCCAAACCTGGCAGCCAGACAGTAATTCTGGTTTTATCTATCTAGACTCAGCTGGTGCCTTTATATAGACATCTTTATCTTGGTAAACCTAAATTATCATTCAGTTCTACATTGTTTGAAGCATGGTGTAATGAAAATGAATGCTGCAAGTAAAAAATTGAAAGCTGCTGAGTGCTAATGCATCCTCGCTTAGAACCACTTGAGACATTATGAGCTTTTAGATTTTTCTGCGTCATAATTATTAGTGGTGTTGCTACCATGAAATTTTCTGCCATCCACTTTAAGGTATTTTGCAATTGTTGTCTGTGCTCTCTGTCCTAATACCCCAGTTACAATCATTTTGCACGGAGAGGTGTTTCCTTGCCTAAAACAGCTTCTCTTGGCAAATAGCTTGGTTTGCATAATAGTTTCTTCTAGTTAGAGGGAAACTGTGACATTATTCCACCAAACTGGAGAGGAAATGATTTAAGTCAGACACATGATCGTGTTCATTTTTTCTGCCAGTCAGGCAGTTACTGAGAGCTTGGAGATTTTCCAAAAGCTTCACATCCGGACCCATCCTGCCAGTGGTGCGTATTCCAGCGCATCTGTCCGTGAGAGGATGTCGGTTCTCTTCCCTAATCCGGGACGAGAGAATAGCAGTAATTGATCAGGAAATTGGTACCTTCCTGGCTGTCGTGGTAACTGATACTCCTCTAAGTTGAGGCAGTTAATGTTGCGGTCAAAGGAAACTTTTTTCCCTAAGAAACCCAGACTTTGATCCAGTCATCTGTATAACTGTGCAGTTCCTGAGTCTGTTCTGCCTAGTGGTATCTAAGTGAATGGAGAAGAAAAAAAATTCTTGATGTGTGCGTCTCTCTCTTTCCCCTCTAAAACTTTATAAAAATGTGCTGAAAGTTTGGGTAGAATTTTCTAACTTTAGCTACATTGCTGCCTTTAGTGTTAAGGCCTTTTTTAATTTTGACATTGGTGTTTCCTAAGTCACTGCCAGTTGTTTTTCCCTTTAGTATAGGTTTCTTTTACCTTGTTCTCTAGTTTGTACTTTGCCCAGAGTTGAAAAAAAATAATCCTATGTTGGGTTACATAGGTGAAGAGGGTTTCTATTCCTCTTTCTGTACATTTTGCCTTGTTGTGGCCTTTTCTTGTAGTTTCCTTAGTTTTCCACCTGCAAGATACCGTGCCTCTTTATTTTGTTGTTTGAGATGGTTTTGCATTTTAGTTAATCAGCTAGATCTTTCAGAAGTACATCACTTATATCTCTCCATTTCTGTAAATGTTTCTGGATTCATAATCTGATTTTCTTGATCCTCTTCTGCTAACTTAATTCCTTTCAGTTTTAATCTTTAAAAGGCTGGGAGCTGGAATAAGATAAGAAGTATGGTACTAAACCCTTTGTTGTTGTTTTGTGAGCCTACAGCAATCTCGGCCAAGGAGAAGAATGTTTTGTTACCACGCGTTCTTACCCATTAATCTTGCATGCAGTGTTTACAGGCCACAAAGCCTTATCAACCAGCTTCTTGGGTTTTAGCCCATTGTAAAGGCATATTAAACGCGTGTTATATGGTGACCCCTGCAAACTTGATGAGTACAGATTAGATTGCCTTTCAAGCTCTGTTAGAGTTTCTGTGCCATTGACAGCTACAACTAAGTAATGGGATGGGGAGACAGAGACTTGCATGTGAGAATAGTTCCTTATCCCACCAAAAAAATCCTGCCTTGCTGCTTTTTTTTCTGGAAGAGAAGAGTAACTCACAGTGTGGTGGAGCAGGGACTTAGGGTCTATTTCCACAACTCACGTGAGTGCTGGAACCTGGTGAGCTACTGCCTGTTGTAGTGAAAAGGAAGGGATGTTGTTGGAAATACTTGCTCTTCTTTCTGGCTTCAACATCAATACTATCCTGGAGCTGGGAAATGTTTCATGACAAAAGCTTCATCAAAACTGCAGCATGATTACAAAAGGTTTCAGGTTTGAGAAATCTGACTTTTCCAAAGAGAGGGGATGTTGTCAGGAAAAATTTTGGCAAACTGAACTGTCATTTACTACTTGGCACTTCATACTGTTCTAGGAGGTGTGTGTTTTAAGTCTGTTGTTTCTGCCTTAAATTATAAGCAGGCCTTCTTTTAAATACGTGGTTATTACATGATTATTTTCTTAATTGTGTTTTGACATGGTATCACAGTTTATGGGAAACACCTTTGTTCAGTTTAAGCTGCCTCTGTGATAGTAACCCATTTACCTGTTTCATCCTCTCATGTTTTTCTACTAGAACGGGCAAGCCATGACATTTGATGCTAGCTGATGTTACCTGTTAGCCTGAAAAACACGGTGACGTTTTTGTGCCCTAAAAATGTTAAATGATGTTAACCTCAGAGAGCAGAACATGACTTAAAGTCACGGTAATGAACATTGGGTTATATGAAAAAACGCCATGTTGTGGCAATAGCAAGGACTGCCCTGGCAGTTGTCTTGACTCGGCTGCTGCTTTTTCATTGATCTGGAAGTGAGTCAAGGTAAAGTTTGTCGGCTTTCCATTCCTACCCCAAATACTTCTGATACTTGAACCAGCTCTCAGTCAAGGTGATGAGAATCTTTCTTGTGACTTATGTGCCGGTTTGAATGTTTCTACAGTGCTTTATTTAAGGATCTGTCACAGTGGTTGTACTAAAATGCCACCAGTTCTTCCCTCACTGTTTCCAGTTCACTCAACCATTCATTCTGTCACGGCTTCTGCATCTTGCACTATTTTGCCTTCTCTTATTTCACCGCACCTGCTTGCAGATTAAATTTTTCTTAAGATATGTGTGTGTGTGTAGTGGAAACATAAGGTTTATTGAGTACGTTGAACATTGCAGTGTGTTAGCACTGCGTTATCGTATAGATCATGAAACCAAGCAAAAGGAAGATATGACATGCAATATACGGTGTCTGCAATGCAAGCATGTAATAGGCTGGTATCAAGAAATTTCATGATACTCCTAGAATTGTTCTTTAATTTAATATGATTTGGATTTCTATATTAAACAAAACCCCAGCTATCTCACGTAGAACAAAAAGATTAAAAAATTATGCTAATGTCTTAGATATATGACTTGGATTAAATTGGGAGTCTTGTGTGTATTAATGGTACTCTTTTATGCATGGGTGTTCAGTAGCAAGATCAACTGTTTTGAAATGTTGGGTTAATGAGATTAAATCACTGCTGAATGGATGATGCACAGGTGGTGATATAATCCTGAAGTCAGTTAACTATGGTGGAACTAAGCCTGTATATTAATAACACGTGAATGCTTTATCTACAATTGTCTTTCCTGGAAATGAGTTTTAAAAATGATGTACTTGTGGAATGCTAGACATGTTCTGAAGCAGCTGATGGGAGAAAATGAGCTGAAAGGGGCCAAGACAATAAAGTGTGTTTCTAAAAAGGAAGTGTTCCCTACAGTGTGACATTAGCAGGTATAAGAAAGAGGAGATCTGTGGTTGCTGTTGTCTAAACTATTAATGCAGGAAAAATTGGCATTTTTGGAGCAGTAGCTATTTCTTCTGTCAGGTGTACTCAATGATATATTAACCCGTAAAGAGAACGTGTATTTAAAATACTAAAAGTTGAAAAGTGACTAAAAATGGTACATTTTGGCATAGGATTTGTTTTGCTAATAATGTTTATAAGCATCTTATGCACTTGATGTTAAATCTGAAAGTAGAAATAGGTTCTTAATCACATGTATGCTCACGAGCGAAGTGAAAGGAAGGTGGTAAAATGCCCTTAATTTTATTGATGGGACCCTTTCCTTGTACAAGACAGGCTGTGGAGAGGCTTGGTCCTGTTGCCAGAGCCCAGTTACTGGTTTTGCTGGTGATTGGCTTCCCTTTGCTGTAGCAGCACTGGCTGCATTTCTGAGGGCTGTATAGTATTAACATTTTTGATGCAGTAAACAACTGTGTGATGGCATGGACAGAGGGAGCAGGTCTGACTGGTAAACTATTGCATTCATCCTCTGTAAGAGAGGAGACATTTGCAACTTCAGAGCATACAGTTTTTGTGGCTGGTCAGCAACACCATAGTTAATGCTGTCTCAGGAGTTTGATCTTACTACAAGAGTTACAGTAACAGTTTCCTTTAACCTCAGCTCATCTGTGCCTGATCCATTTACGATTAAGTAATTAAGCCATATTTTGAAAACCAAGTAAAACTACATTACTTTTTTATCCATTGTTGAAGCCTTGACAGCAACACACGTTTAATTCAGCAATACATTTTGATTGTAGGGGGAAGAGTAAAAACGTGGAAACGGAGATGGTTTATTCTGACTGATAATTGCCTGTATTACTTTGAGTACACAACAGTGAGTATATATTACAAGGAGCTTTATTTGTAAGCAAGATATTTAAGTGGCTAATAATGCGATATTTTCCTAATTTTTTAGGACAAAGAACCTAGAGGAATTATTCCGTTAGAAAATCTTAGCATAAGAGAAGTTGAAGACCCTAGAAAACCAGTAAGATATTTTCATAATTTTTTTTAAAAATGAAGATAAATAAACCATATAGAACTTAGGTGTAGTGTTAAATGATGATGTTTGTCAGTTTTGTTTTGTTTTTTAAATTTATTTCTTCATTTCTACCCTCCAGAACTGCTTTGAGCTCTATAACCCCAGTCATAAAGGTCAAGTAATTAAAGCCTGTAAAACTGAAGCTGATGGTAGAGTGGTGGAAGGCAACCATGTAGTGTATAGAATATCTGCTCCCACCCCAGAAGAAAAGGAAGAGTGGATTAAATCTATCAAGTGAGTTTAAAGTCTTAAATGTCTTTCAGAAATGAAATGTAAGCTGTTTTTGGAGTAAGATACTAAGAGAATTTGTATTGTAACTTCTTTGAAGAATTCTGATGTCGCAATGTCCTCTAGGAGTAATAGCAAGCTACGTGAGGTTGATGGATCAAGATACAAGTCTCCTGTTACTGTCTGATCCTAAGGAGATGGTGTTACTCACTCAAATGAGGAAAATGTGCAATTTTTTTTTTTCTTAAGCAAATATAAAGCCTTGTGTGAATCGTCTTTAGCCCTAATTTTATTAGATTCTTACTTCACCTCATAATTAACTTTAGTGACGTGTATCTTAAGCATGTTCGCAGTGTAGCTTTAAACTCGCACAGCTTGACTTTATCTTGGAAGGTTTATAAAGCATACCTGCACTTAAAGAAATAAACAGATGAAGGGATGAACTCTTAACAAATTACAGCTGAAGAACATCTTTTTCTAAAGAAATATTGGTGATGCTTAGAAGTCAGCCATCCATTATCTTAATAAGAGCATGGAGTCAATCATAGGGAAGAGAGAACAGAACAGTTTTAGTTTTCAAAAACAGGTATTTGTTAACCAAACTGATGATTCCTTTTTTTTCTCTTCTAGAGCAAGTATCAGCAGGGATCCCTTTTATGATATGCTGGCAACAAGGAAACGAAGAATTGCAAATAAGAAATAGAACATGATCAGCAATTTGTATACCTGCATCAGCCTATAAATGAGCATACAGTAGGAGTGATAATATAAAAATTGGACAAACTAAATGAAGACAATAACTGTAAATTTTATATATACACTTTACTATGACATTAAAACTTGGCAAAACCTTTCAGGGTAAATAGTTACTGGCATATAATTTGGAGTAAGCTTCAAATCCCAGAAGATGATTATATTGGAACTTAATTCAACTGAAAACATGGAAGCCTTGTTTTCACTTACATTATTTACAACTCCAGTTGTAAATAATTAAACTCCAGTTTACTTGGGTTGGGAGGGAAGGAATTTGAGGCTAACTGTAAAATGTCCTATACCCATTATTTGAGCTCATTTCCCATACAAGGAAGAGTGATTATAAGACTTTAATCTCTCACTAAAATGCAGCAGCGAAAGTGGAGTACAGCATGATCTAGCACTTAATTTTTCTGTAAGCAGAAAACCCACAATCTCCGTATCTGTTTTCAACTCTTGTGTGTTTTGCAGTAAATGAACAGCTGCATGCAGCTTTCAATTAGGATTCGCTCTCCTACCTTTATGGAAATAGCTGCTCTTCTTCAGAAATGCAACTCAGCGGTAGACTGGCAGCTGCATAGTTAACGAGTTGTGCCAAAGGGTTTGGTTGATATGCCCTGAAATATATGCAGGTCCCAACAGCAAAGGTTTGAGTCTGTAGACATGACACTAAGTACAGATGCGGTTTGATACTTGCCAGTAGGCCAAAACTCATTCCTGTCTGCCTATACACTCAAAGTAAGCAGTAAGAGTTAATGACTGGTTTAATCTGCTTTTTATATAGTGACATCCTTCTTAGGTTTTAGATATGTTGTAGTTTAATTAACACTAAATTGCTACTAAAGGAGTAAAATGACAGGGTTTGCATGAGTTTAGGCTCTGCATGTGAAAAGACCCCCAAATAATTTCACATGCATTTAATGTTTTTAAAGGGAAAAACCAGGAAGGTGAAGTCTTTCTGTAAGATACAGCCCTAGATGGTTAAGCAAGCAAGATTCATTCCTTTGCTTGATAACAAACTTTGGATGTACAGAAAAGTTTGATATTTTTATTGCGTTCTTAAAGGCAATCTTCCAGACCTGTGCTTCAACAGTTGAAATTGAAAAAATGAATAGACATCCTTATTTTTACTTAAAAAAAAAATAAAAATCTTACACATCGATTACCTAGTGCAACTAAACTCCCCCAGAAGCACATGTCTTTATTTTTGAAACTTATGGAAGATTTTTCTGTGCTCCTACTGATAGTCTTTCAGTAACATGTAAACTGCTATGGCAGATTTACTACAATGCTTTTCTATTCATAGCGCAGATATCATTCTTAAGGTAAAGCCCCTAATTCCACAATGGGGGCAAGAAGTGTTTTTTTTGGACCTTACTGCTTATGTTAGTACTCAGTTTTTCACAAACTTGTTGAACCTGAGCCATGCCTACTGTGCCAATGGATGCTTTGGAGACCCAATACTTTGTCACAGCAGTTTTGCTTGTTGGAGTTACAGAAGCATCTCTGGATACAGAGAGAGAGGGGAATGTGCTGCACTGACAAAACCACAGACTTACTGAGTTGATCGGTTTCAAATCTCCTTTTAACTGTAAGGGAGAGTCTGTTTCATTGTTCCTGTCTTAATAATTTGCCTTGTTTGGCATGGGGTGTCAGCCCAGGAATGTTTTGCTTTATTGCATGTTTACAAGAAAGGCTGAGAGAAAAAGAACAAAGTAAACTTTTTTTACACCTTAGATTTTACCCAGAGTGTGTGGAACTGCCGTCTGCTTGGATGAATCCAAGTACTTTCAAGGGAGTGAAACAACCTCAGAAGGTAGAATCCTTGAATAAGTATCAGTGTGGGGACATCGTTGCTTAATGGAACACATTTAAACTCTTTATAGAAACGAATTAAGTTGTATGTCTTATGTTTGCAAAGCAGCATGATTATAGAGCTGCTAACATCACTTGTTCTGAGTCTTCTGTTCTACACCTTCAAGTTTTGTTTTCAAGCAATACATACATCAGTTTTAGCTTTGGACAAGTAGATTTGTAATGCAAATAGTGATAAGCCGGAATCAGTGGTACTAATGAGTGTAAAGGTGAAAAGCAGCAAATAAAGTATTTCTGGAGAAATGTGAGATTACAAGAGCATTAATAAGCCATGAAGCACTTCTTTGTTGATTCTTACCTTCTGAAATATCACCCTTAAGAAAATCTATTTATTTAAGCAGGTGAGGATCTCTGCCTATAAGCATGAAGGAAATGCCTTGAGAGTTCATTTGCTGTATTTAGTTTGAAGTTCTTATATCCAGCAGAAATAATTATTTAGAGTAACATGTAACTGAGGATATTATAGCAGGAATATATTATTTCTTAGCATTAAAATGCGACATCTTAAACAAGCTATTTGTGGTGCTCAATATATCTATTTAATTTACCAAAGCTAACGGAATAGCATTCTTGTGTGTGATAATATTTGATTTCAATTGTTCTTTGTAACAGTATTAACAGGGAGTGAAACTGGCCCAAAATTTCTACTGGCCACGAGGCCAGTAAAACAAAGTGGCTTGTGAAAATTTTGGCCAAATCAGGTACTATCCACGAGGGTGAAGAAAAATCTCTCAACCTTTCCCTTTTTTATTGGGCTTCAAGTCCAGGGGTGGCTACTAAGACTAGCTGCTCGGTGGCCTAAAGCAGTATCTGTTATGGTTTGGCCATGCTGAGGAAAAGTCCTCTGGGGACAACAGACATCTCCCTTCCTGTTGCACTGAAATTTGCATAATTCATCAGCTCTTTGTTTTTATCATTGCCCTTTACAACTACAGGGGCCAGCAAGAGCCACTACTGCTTCTGCCAGGCGCGTGGCTTCACTCGTCTAAACCATTTCGCCACTAACATCAGCCACATTGCCGGTGCAATCTAGGGAGAGAACTGTATATAATACTTAAGCTCAGCTGGACTGACTTAAATTTTACAATATTCTGACAAAAAGTAAGCTCTATGTCACTTAACATTTTGAACTGTTTTAAACTGGTACAAAACTGAACCTTTGTAAACTGAGCAGCATTTATAATGCTTCATATATAAAAACAATGCATATTTTTAAGATTTATTACATATCTATGTAGATATGCTTGCTGGAAAAGCTAGGTCTGTTGTAGACCAAATGCTACAAATTAAGACTTGTGGCTTACCAGTTTCATTTCTATATTTTCTTGGAAAATGTTTCTAGCTAGAGTTTAAATATAAAATGTAAATACTGTACAGATATGTATTGATATAAGTATTACTTGTTGTACACAAGTGATTTGCATGACAAATACTCTGTATCAACCATTGTTAAAAATGTGATGTTCTATGTAAATCCACTGCAATATTAATGTCTTCATTTATCACTAAGACCTGTTGCTTAAATCTGGAGATTTTTCTCAAAAATAAAGTGTGAAACTATACTACTGTATAGCTCCTCATTTGCCAAGAATACACGGGAGGCAATTGCCTTTTTTTTTTTTTCTTTTTTGAGAGGTTAAGGTTCAACTTTACAGCATGTGTTATAACTGCTTTTGTAAGTAAAAGGCCTCTTTTCTCTACCTTTAGGCACACTAATCTAAATTATCAGGTTTAAATTTTCAGAGAGAAAAACCTTCAACTGCAAAATAATTGTTTCAGTAAAGTATACCACAACTATGAGGATTATTCCATTAAGAGCATGTTTCCTTCAAGAGCCACCCTAAATTAAGGAGGTATTTTGCCAGTTCCCTTCCATGAGCTGCAATCAAATGTAACGTGGGGGGCCAGGAATCAGATCTCTGCTCCTCAAGGAGATTCATTAGACCTCCCCCAACGAGAAACGGCCAATGCTGCTGCAGATGCACAGCCTGCTTCTCCCTAGCTCTAGCTGAAGCTGTCACGGACTGCCCTCCCTCCATTTACTGCTTATTAGCTAGTTCAGGCAGTTGTTGCATCTGGAGCCCTTAAGTGAGGTACAGCAGCCAACATTTAAACTCCTTTTCTACATTTATACTGGAGTTATTCATCAGACAAAAGACAAGACACCAAATCTTGGAGCCAGAGGACAAAAGAGTAAAAAAAAGCCAGATACAGGAAAGGTATGTGGTTTCTTTGTCATGTTACTTTATGTAACTTCACATAACTGTTGCCATAGGAACATTATGCAGGGTACACTTATGGTTTGGCTTTATGGTGTTCTCCATGTACCAAAATATTACACTTTGCTCCTTTTTTTTTTAGTGTCACACATCAGTAAAAGGCTACTACTGAGCTTCCAACCTGTTGGCTGGTTTTGGAAGCTTTTAACTTCAAAGGAGAAAGCCTTCTGCATTCTTGTCTAGGCAGCTGAAGTCCCAAGTTACTTATCTTCTCTGGGTCACACCAACAGCATCTTCTCACTTACCCATGAAAGGAAGATTTGAATTCTTGAGTATCAAACACACTCTGAAAGCTGTCAATTCACATGACATATTGCATGTTAAATAACTCAAGTAAAACTCAAGTAAAAATCCATTTTAACTTTGCTGTATTTATATACTATATAAATTTTACATGCTATATATTTACAGTGGGGCAAGTGCTTTTTATCTTTAAAAAAACAAAGATCAAACTTTAGACATCTCTGAACAACACAGCTTGTATAAACCAGACAGATTATTCAGATGAACTGTATTTAATACAGGTTCCCCACTCATCTCCTGATGCAGGACCAGTGAATAATAAGTGCATCACAGTTTGATAGCATTTAATAATAAAAATAAAAATCACAGTATGAATTTGTCTGTAACTAGACACTTTAAAGAGACAAAACAGACAACTGAGACTTAAGACAAGTGACAGTATATTAAGAAAATGTAATAAAAACATATGGAAGAGTATACAAATAGTCTTGAGAGATACATTCAGAACTGCATATTCGTTGTTTCACAATGTTGAAAACCAGAAGATTTTCTT